CAAGGCTAAGATACATGAAGTCGAAGGGATATTTAATTCTAAATTTATATCCGGTTGTAGTCATTAAACTCATTTTATTGGTTACTCTACAGGCATATAAGTTTAATTTTATAAGCATTTTAAATAGATTGAATAAACAAAAATCTTGTATTTTAAATATGTTAATTTGTATTAATAGAGCCAAATCTAACGCACATTATATTTTCTTTTCCCAATTATACAATTTTTTGTATAGGAATGAAATTAAAATTGTTTTACTCGTAGTGCTTTTCTTTACATATACTCTTATTTTACGTTTATCACTTAATATTATAATCTGCTTGATTTCCTGGCTTATGTGTATATTAAAGTTTTATTTAAGCTTGCCGACCTTCTAGCCAACATAGCCGTTGGCAGTGCTGATTGCCAAATGAGTGTAAAAAATAGCCATTATACAGTAGGGGGCATGTTGGGGAATGAGGGCCAGAAAAAGACGACTCTTCAGCCCCGGACCCAACGTGGGTGGTTACATATTCAATAGCTTTTGAAAAGCATGCTTAACAATAACAGCAGAGAGCAAGAGGCAGCAAAAAAAGGGAGAATCATCGGTGGGGCTCCATCACCCTTCACAGCGCAAACACACACTCAGACATTTGCATGTCAAGTCCTGGCCTGGTCCTGCCAGCCCCTCCCCACCCCGCTGGCATTAAAAACGACCATGAATAAATTTTAACGGCGCTTGTGTGTTAAAGTATTTAATGCTTAAAGGCTCAGGCCGTCCGGCCGTGCGCCTTAAGCCATGCCACATGTTGAGCCAAGTGCCTGGAACAACGAGGCACATGTGCGAGTGTAGCTGCACTGAGAAAATCAGGATCTTACGACCTTTTGAACGATCTTTTTCTGGGTAGAAATCAAAACAGAAACTATGGAGATTTCAACTCTTAAAATGTACGAATTACAAAAAAAATGGTAAATAAAATACAAAATACAAAATATTTGTTAAAATATACTGTATATACATTGATGGCAGTACAGTCCTTTTGGTCTTATGGTGTTACTTTAAATAAGTAGACTTTGTATTAATAAGAATTTCCATTTATTTATTTAAATATGTTTAATTATACAAAAAAAATTGTTTCCAAATAAAAAAAAAAATTGTTCATATACATTGAATCAAATTGTTTTTACGATAAAATTTGAGAAGTCACCTCATTTTTCGGCTGTGTATGGGATTGAAAGTACGACTGTAGGAGTGTAAGTTGATGAGCAAGTAAGATTGAAGGAGTATGGTAGTGGGGGGGTAAGTAAGTGAGTTGGGAGTGTGTGTGGGCACTTGTCACTTTGACAACACGTCGCCATCGTCATCACTTCACACACAACCATTCCCGGCGTTGTTAACGCCGTTCGACCGCTTTTTTCCCCTCAAAGTCCCTCCATACGCGATCCCTTCTTGGTTGGGACTTCTTAGTGATTAAGCACATAATTGGATTCATTCCGGCGTAGAGCTCGTCTCCACTCCTCAGAAACTTTTTGATATTTTACGATGCTGCGGAAGGGATTTGTGATGCTAGGCATTAATTGCCTTGCGGTTGTCAACAGCATATGTTGGTTTAGGGTAGATTTCTCACTTTCAAGCAGCGACGGTAAAAAAATGAGCACAAAATACCATACAAACAAAGATGTTGATCCTGTCATAATTTATAATCAGTGGCAAAGAATTTTAAAATAATATTACCTTTAAAATATATATAAATAAATATTAAGAGCACTAGTATGTACAAAAAAGAGTCGGTTAGTCTGTTCACTTTATCGCTTAGTGTGTGAAATCTCCACCGGTTCCCAAAGAACTTAAATTTTCCACAATTTTGTGAGCATAGGAATAAAGCCTCAGCCAGTGGTCAGCTTTTGGGGACAGGACTGCAGGTCATGCGGACATCTGTTCGCAGCTTAGCAGGAGCTTAACCCAACGAGCGCCCGATTGTCTGAAATATGAAAATTGGTCATCACATGAGAACCCCAGCTGCTGACGTGACAGTTATGAATGTGGATTTAGTAATAATAACTGAATTATAAATTATTCAATTTACTTAACACAAAATCAATTCTTATAAATTAAAATGGGTTTTAGGATGAAAAAATCATGATACTTATCATCATAATAACAATCAAAAGGCCATGTGGGTGAGTGTATTACACAATAAACATCATCGTTAAACATAATTGCATGTAACGGTTACTCAGTTTCAATTTTACTGGAAATTCGCCCGCTTTTCATCAGTCAGGGGCTTGCTGTGGTTTTTCTGGGGCGCTGGGTGGCATTTCTCTGGTTGAACGAACATGGAAAGCCGCATTTGTTATGGAAATGCTCATTAAAATGTTTCCCGCGTTACGCATACGCATTGTTGGACGAAAATGAAATCGCATACAGTTTACTTTTTCTCTTTAGCAAATTCCATTCGATTTGTGGGATTTTCATTTCCAGTCTCAGCTTTTACATCGCTCCACTAATTTTCCCATAAACTTTTTGCAGCGTTAAAGAAGACATTTTCACCTTCTGCTATGCTCTGCACTTTCCTCTTCAACTACAACAAAGCCAAGAAAAGTTGAATTATTGTGCTCTGACTCTCTTAATATTTCAGGAATTTCTTAATTGCTCAGCAGACATCCGGGGAAAACAAAACAATCATTCCATGGCCACTTTTTTAGCAATCCTTGGGTTCATAAAAAAAATTCTAAATATAATGTTTTGTGTGCTTACACACAGAAATATATATAATATATTTTTTTTTATTTAAAACATTTACCTCTCGACTCAGATTATAGTACCTATAACAAACGACATTGCTTAATAAAACAAATAAATAATTGACTACATTAAAATAATTATTTCTGAAAAGAATCTAAAGAAAACTGTGTTTTTAAAAAACCTTCAATCAAATAAAAATATCTCCGCCTTTGTACTTTTATTTATAATTATATATCTTTTTTTAGTGTGCGCGTATTTGTGCTTATATTTTATACTTGAAAAACTTTTCCAGGGACGACAATGAAATTGTCGGCCAAGTTAGCACTTGGTCCAGTTGACCAGGAAAACTCAGCATGTGGCTCAAAGTGCCCGAAAAAACTTGAACGGAACACTAGATGAAGCATAAGCAACAGAACGCGGAAAAAACCCAAAAAGGCCAAAAGAAACACAGAAAAATAATAAAAAGAAATTGGACAATAAAATACAATAATTTATGGCGTAGAGCAATCCTTTCTGGTGGCACCAAAAGTCGGAATAAGGCGGCAACATTGTTTGCGGTAGGGTGGTGGTTCAGTGGTTCAGTGGGTGGTAGGTCAGCAAATCGTCATTGGAAACTAAACGAAAATGTTTAGTATGATTTTTATACCCGTTACTCGAAAATTAAAAGGGTATATTGTAATCGTTAAAAAGTATGTAACAGGTAAAGGGAATTAATTTTTAATTTGCAAATTGTTAGCTGAATAACGGGTATCTAGTAGTCGGGGATCTTAACTTTAACGTTCTCTCTTTCTGTTTTATTTCACTTTAGCGTTTTTCTTTCTTTCCCGCCCACTCGCACCCTTTTTTTATACTTATTTATTATTGCTGACGTTTTTTGCTCTCATACTTTTGGTCCGTTCAGAGTTGGCAAGTTCAGATTTATTTTAAGAGGATTTGGAGTGGAACTACAATGCGAAGAGTTTCAGGATGTCAAATCAAAATTAATACCATAATAATTTAACAAGAATGCTCTTGCGTGTGTAAAAACAATATACATGTTTCTACAAGGATAATAAAAAACTTTATATTTCGCATATATGTATGTATAGTTAAGTAAAAACTTAACAAAGGATTGATTGCTAAAAGTATAATTTCAGAGAACATTTAATATATTAAAATTGTATGATTTCACAGGCTACTTTTAGGTTACAATATAATATATTTTTTTTTAAACACAACTTTATCCACGACTATAATAAGTAATTGGTTTTCTGTTTAAATTATAGATTTTTGTACACCCATTTTTATCCATGACTATAGTACGTATTTGGCTTTCGTTTCACTTCACTTCGGTTCGATTTTTCTGCACTCGGTTTTTATTACTTCTATTAGTTTCCTCTGGTAAGTGATGGCTGTTGGGGGCTGCCAGTGGAATGGCTGCTGGTAACAAATGTTTAACAAAAGTTGTTGCCACTGCGGGTTTCATTCCAGCTGCCAGCGAGATGATTTAAACGAGACGTGCGTTGCCAGCCCCCGGCAATCGGGTCCTCTAGTGCCAAGGACGAATCCCGAATTCCGAAAACCGAAACTTTATTTCATTTAATTGAAATTTTATGTAAAACACACACTTCGTTTCGTTTGATGGATAGTTTTTTAACGCTCGCAGCGCACAACGCTCCCCCGCCCACCAGAAATAAAACAAATGTGAAATATTTGCAAGTTTTACGAGCATCGAGTTATGTGGTTTTGCGGCCAGCGGGATTCCAGCTGCTTGACCTTCGCTCCAAAAAAGTGAGATAAATTCCATGATTTCTCACTGTTTGAACTGTTTTGGCCACCAAAGCGCAAATAAATTACATTGGCAAGCACGGGAGTTTTATCTGCCCCAGCTTAGGGCGTATAAAATTCGCTGATATAAACAAACTGGAACTGCAAATCCTTTTATTTTACGTTCGAATTGACAAGCCAACCCTGACAGAATCCCGTCGGATAAATGGGTGGGGCAAGGATGTTAAATCCAAGTGCTGTCTGAATGTGTGTTTCGAGTGCTATCATTGCAATAAGAATATAAGAAAAAAAATTTCCAAGTGGAGCTGGATGTGTTGATGGTTGTTGAAGAGTTTCACTTACATCCACTGATTTCCTTTACGTGGAAGTTTGTTTTTTTTTTTAAATAATTCAAGTGAACTTTCAACATGGGTAAATATAAATTTATTGGAAGTCCAAAGTAGAGATTTCGGGCCCAAATATTGATATCCATTTAAATAAAACTATGTAGTTAGTTTTATAATTTTTATGAATTTATTTATAATCCTTTCGGTATGTTTTTTTCCTGGCCAGTAATGACATCTTCCAATTTACACATATGAATTAATTTGTATACTCTTATCTTGTTTTTGGTTGTTTCCGTTTCACAACTTGACATAAATTATTATAACTATTTGATCATTATTCATACAAATATTTACAGAGTGGTAAAACACTGTTCACATAATCAGCATTTTGAAGTATTTTACTTCTTGGTTACAGTTGAGTTTCTCACTTTATAATAGGCTAGTTATACTCGATTTATTTGTTATTTTCCATTGTTTTTTTTTTTTGTGTTGTTCATCATTAAATAATTATATCAATACATTACTTTTAATAATATAGATCTTTAATTTAATTTTAGTTTTGATCACATGTGTTATTTTTGCCATTTATTTTTTTTTTCGGTTCCACCTGGCTTAAACTATAAATATGCCTTGAATTTGTATCTATTTTTTATCGTTCCCTCTTTTTTTCAACACAAGTTTTTAAATGTAATGTATTAGTTGAGCTGCAAAAAGTTGCGGGAATGCAACTTTTTGTTGGCCCCGTCCAAAACAAAACTTTTATTTGCCTATGCAAAATTAAGGACTAAATTAAAACAAAATATTTAAATATACATATCCATACATGAGTGTGTGATATAGGTGAGAGTGTAGGTATATGAGTTAAATGGTTCTTGAACAAACGCGTTTACAGTTTTACCCATTTGCATTCTATACAATTTTTATTTAATATTATTTCTCGCTTAATTGGTTTGCTTGTGAACTTATTTGCAATTTTGGCGGGTTGAATTTTGTATTGATCTATTAATTATACAATATATTTACCATTCTGCTGCTTTTGAAATAGCATTGCTTTACTTTAATATTAATTAAAAGATTGGTATTAAAGCTTTACAAATTATGGAAAAAATGTGGTTACATTCAATTCATGCATTGAATTACATGCCTTTTTTCGGTTCTCCTTGTTTTTTGTTAAGCCTTGGCTAATTAAGTGTTTAATGTTAATTAACTAATTAAATGCGAATTTCATCTAGGTCAATAACGAAATTAAAAACTCTTTAAACGCATAATGTTTTATTATTAAATCGTTTCGGTGCTAGTGCCGGGCTAATAGAGGCAGATTAACGAACTCCATTCGTTACCAGTTCCAAATGAGCCCGGCAACAGTCGCATATAAGAATTCAACATTTATTTCATTAACTATTAGCTATATTCTTTGTAAACTTTAATAACTTTTTCATAGAAAAAATACATGATGAAAAATTAGATTTTCCTTCTGTACTAACATTGAGCTTGACTTTTGTGATAAGCCTTGGTTTTTTTCTTGATTTCACTTTTCTTTATTAATTTGCTTAATGTGCTTTACTTTCGCTATTATAGGCTTTTTTTTCTATCTTTTGTGTGCTATGAGATATCCTCTTTTTTTTTTACTTAGAGCTAGAGCTAAAGATAAAAGCAAACATGGCAATGATATTTACACAATGTTGGCTAGTTTGGGAATGAAGGGGCGAAGGGTTGGGGGTATTGGGGGCGTTTGTGGATGGGTGGCGGTCTCCTCTTGCCACTTTCTATAAACATAGGCGGTGACAGCTGCGCACAAAGTTGTATGCACTGAAAAAAATCGATCAAGGATGTGCTGGATGTATTAAAGCCATTTTACTTATTTAAATGAATATTAAAATTTCTAATAGATTTTTCTCTACTGTAAAGCCAAGACTATCAAAAAATTGTATCCGATTAAAAATTTTCATGACTTAAACACAAAGTAAAACTGAAAAAAAATAAGAGAAAGTGTTAAGCACAAAATACACATCCTTTATAACATCTTGACCATTTTTTAATAGTGTTACAACAGCAGTTGGGCAGCTACTTGACTCTGAGCGATTGCAAAATGTCGGGTTTTTTCCCAAATGTGTGTGTACATTTGTGCAGCATCATGCCACACATACACACACAAGCAATACGCTACAAAAACAATGGGAAAACAACAACATCATTCAGCAGAGAGGAGGAAAACTTTGTCAATTAACCTAAAACAAGTTTCACTTTACAACACGTACGCTTGACATAATTTTTAGCCGCTTTCACCACGAGCCTGCGATGAATGAAACGCTATGCATATGAGTGAACTTTACAAATGGAGAAATTATCACGTTCTTGGTCCTTGATAACGACAATAGGATCTGCCCATAATATCTTCGGCTGGAATTGACTGATCGATGGGCACCACTCGCAAGAGCTCCATCTGATCGCGTACCTGCAAGTAAATCAAGTATATTTAATTTGATTAAAATACCATTAGTAATTATTTATGCATGCGTGTGTGAGTGGGAGTGTCGACAGCTGCATTTGATTGATGAAAATTGATTGCAATTGCCAAGCTGGCACAACTTACAAAAGTTATTTAGCGTAATTGCCAAAGTTTTGTTTGAATTTTCAAATGCAGAAATGATTTCTTGGAACTTTTCGTGTACTCTTCATATGGCATTAATATTGTTTGCAAGCTTAAGCGCGAAACTTAGGCAACAGAATTGGAGTTGAATATTAGTTATGGTAAACAGTTTTTGGAAAATTACAAAATGGGCTTATAGAAATATGTATGGGGCTTTGTTAGTACTGTATAACTAATTATAAACAAGAGGCAACTTACGGAAAGCTTTATTTATAACTTGGCTTAACCATTAAAAAAGATCAAAGAAATCGTGGTTTGAGAAATGAGGAAAGGAGTCTTTTAAACCCAAATGGTTTTCTTAAATTACCCAGAATATTTTCTTTGTCGCAACCACAATTTGTGATATTTGAAATATGTTGAAATCTAAAAGAATTCCTGCAAATGACGCTCTTTAAGTGCTCGAGGAGCTTTCCTATCGCCTAACACGAGAAGCAAGAATACAAAGCGTCAAATGTTCATAAAAAAACCTCTTCCGCATGTCTAGCTCCCGCACACTTAAACAAACAGGCACTCGTCACACACACACAAGGGCACTGAATCCTTAAAGAGAACCCAAAATCTGAATGCCAAACAGCCAGCTCTTATTGCTGGCAAAAGTTGAAGCACATTTAATGCCACAAACACAAAAAAGCTGAGAAGGAGGGCGGTAAAACGAAATAAAATGAGAGAAAATGTTTTGTTTTCAACGCCAAACACCTTTTGAGGGGTTGATGGTGGGGAGCTATTGTGAGGCCTAGGTCGGCTGGTCCCATTTCCTGTGTTTTGTTTGCCATACAACAATCGAATTTACGACTTTTTTATGTGAGCCCTCTCCACACAAACAACAATAAAATCCGTCAGCTTTGGCTCAGTCATTGCACTTTGTGTGCATGACCCACTCACACAAACAGTCGAAACACAACAACTTTGAGCCATTTGCCTTTTGGCTAGACTCTTCCGGCCTTTGAGTTGGATATCCCAGCCCTTTTCCGCGCCTCCGTTCTGCGAAAATGAAAAGCCCAGTTCACAGTTACAGTTTGAGTGAAGAGCTCAAAGCGGAAAATAAATTCCCACACCATCGCAACGCAACGCATTTTCCAGCCATGGAACCCAAAGCGGAATCAATTGCCAGAAGGTCAGCACAAACACTTTCAGAAAAACAACACTAAAGATTAAAGATTATATAGATGGGTTTATATAACGATAATTTGGATCTATGCAAATACTATTTGGATCAGAAAGTAATCAATTAGATCTGACAAAGATACCAACTTGATGTTTAAATTGACCATGACACTGAAAAAAATTGAAACATTCTTCACACCACAACAAGTAAGTAATGAAATGAAATAGCTCCTACAAAATTTTAATAACTAACGTCAGAAGGTTAAATTATTTTAATTTTAACATTTTAAATTATTTTTTTTTTAATTAAAATATACTTCATTTTTATAAATATGCTTAAACGGTATTAATTTTTAAAGATAAACAATAATTTATTTTGTTTAAATTTTCTAATGTTATTTTCAGCCATTTTTTTTCTATTTACAAACATAATTAAAATTATCTCGTAATTGAGACTTTACGTAGATATTTATTGCAAGATCAAATTTACCATAATTCAAATGACTTTGTTTTCCAGTGCACACAAGGTCTGCGAAAGATATTTAAATGAATTTGTCTCGCACAAATTGCTGCCATTTGCCGGGGTCATTTGCCCATCTCAGAGACAAAGCCTCCGTTGCCGCCACTTGGGCGATGTGTCGTGCCAAATGCCGTCCTTCGCTCTCGCATTAGATATAAAAGGCTAAAATAAAAGATACATTTGCACAAACACAAGCAAGGAGTGGGTCAGGGAAGGGGTCCTGGAATCCTTGGCTTTTCTTTGCCCTCGCCACTGCCGCCTTGCTGCCTTTGGGTAGATAAAAACTGGCGTCGAGAAAATTATCATGTTCATGGGCTATGGCTATGGCTATGGCGTAGATCCTCTGGCCGCCTTCTACGCCCACAAATTTGCGGACAGCCTTGTTGTCCCTAATGTCCTTGGAAGTGTGTTCCCAGAACCGGTTAATCCTGCTAAATCTGATCGGAGCGAAGCTAGTTTTCGTCTGCTCCTTCAGATATGCACTTAGTTTTGAAGCGTTTTAAAATTTATAGGCTCATAAACCACTTTGACATATACAAGTGACACCAATCTTTAACGAATGGTTCTTTAAATTAAGTAGCAGAAGTCTGCAGGTCTTTGGGAATCGCTCAGCCGCTTATCACGAGGATTTAAAGAATTATTCAAATAAAATGAGGAAATATTGTTCTTATTGATGAGCGGTTTCTTAAAATTTATTTTTATGAATCCCAGAACCGGCTTAAAAATATTTTCCTCAATATTTACCACAATTTTAAACATTTAAATTAACAGTATGTATTGTTAATATAATATATATTCTAACAAAATAAAAACCATAGCTTGTAAGTCTTTATCAACTTGTAAACCGCAAGAAATCGCTGAGAAAGAGTTTAAAGGAACACTCCGCTTTGAAATATGAACAAGTGCGTGTCCAGCCTAAAAGGGTATTATATATGTGCTGGCTCGTTCTCGTATACATATCCTTGTGAGCGTTTGTGCGAGATGGCAATCATTAAAATGGCCTTTGCCTAATTTCTATGACTTGCTTAATTATCACAGCCATGACCGACCGAGTCCCCTGGGTACACACAACCCAAAACAGCATTAAGCTTCTAATAATTGAACATTTGACCCGCTTTTCGTTATTATTTAATTGCATTACGAGCCAAGCTTTTGGCGACGTCCATAAGTAGGCTATAACGTACTTTATTTCGTCGGTTTGGGAATTGAAATGGGGGGACCTCGACTTGGGTTCAATGAACTGGGGACTTGGACTGATGCAAAACAAAAGCAAATGTCATTGGGATAAGTATATATGGCCTGGCTTAATTTCCACAGCTCTGGGCTTTTTGGCCACAGATAAAAGGCGTTGGGTAACATTTTTAATTACTTTTTACCGCAAACAGCTGCAAAAAGGGGAAGAACGGAAAAAAATACAGAAACAAACAGAAACGTATTAAAATACAATTCTTAATGAGCATTACGACCATATAATAAACAGCAGTAAAAAAAATATATATATATATGGTTGCCTTCTGAGTGCAAAGCGCAATAAAAGCCCAGCGATTTTAATCAGTCGCACTGCAAAGAAGGCAATACTTTTGTGGCCTTATTTTTATGTTGTTACCATAACCAATGCTCCGCTTATGGGGCTAAGAGCTGCTTGTAATAACGGACATTTAGTATTTCAACGTATTATATACACTACCCTGAACTAAAACTAATTACAATGTAGAGCCTGCGCGAGAATATGATTAAAGTTTGCCGGGTCGTCTCTCAGTCAGCGAGAAACAAGAGCTAAATTAAAAAATTCTGCGGCATCTCTTTCTCAACTCGGTCAAAATGGGGCTGCAGAGTGGGCGGAACTCGAAGGAGGACTTTATAATCAGCAGAAGCAATAAAACCTACGAGCATGGCCAGCGTTCAAGGGGGCGTATGATTTATTTTTGTTATTAAATCTTTAAATTGGTTCTGCCAAAGGAGAAGCTTACTTCCAGTTTCTAAGATGAAAAGGGTATTGCTCAACTATTTTGATTTAGAGAGTAGGAATAATTTTCATATAAAAGGGACCACTCACTAATCACGATGGATATCATTGAAAAACAAATAATCCTTTCTTTTCGTAGTCTATTTGGGTCATTAATCTGCAAAGTCTCAGGCTTAAAACACAATTCTGTTGGGAGAATGTACACGCACATAATATACTGTTGAAAAAAAAAAAAAATAAGGTTATAAATTATGTGTTAGATTTCAGGATTGGCACTGTGCATGTCCAAAGTTTTAAGAACTGGGTCTCTAGAATATTAATGAAGTTTTATCTCCAATACACAAATTTCCAAACCTTTAATTACCGTTCTACTTTAAATATCAGTTGGTTTGAAGTTCAATTTTTTATTTTCCAATTCAAAGGGGTAAACACATGATACTTGATAAGCAGGCTTGAGGGCTGTCTGCATCGTTTAGTCGAATGCGTCGAAAGTTCATGCATCGAAACGTCTAAGCACCAAACCATCCGACTGTTCGACTAAAAAACAAACCCACTTTCAAGTCTTTGAATGGTACTAGCCTTCGCTCGAGTGTCGTTCAATGCCGAGGAGTAACTTCCTCGAGAGGGGCTCTGGCTCCCATCCCGTATTGATCTAAATTGAATGCTGCTTGAGCTTGGAGTGCCCAGGCACAGTCAACGTGGAGCAGTGAAAGAAATCCCCCAGCCGAACCAAACCAAATCCCAATCGCATTCGCATTCACAGGACTATAAGCTGTATCCAAACGAAGAGCAGACGGCAAACAAGCTGACCGCATCCTGCAAACAAACTGCAGACTGGAGCTGTTGCTCCGGTTGCGCTGGTCAGGCTCGTGTATAAATATCGGAATAAGCATTTGAAAATCCTTTTAAAATTATTTCTCAACTTGCGTCTTTTCGACGTCAAGCCAAAGTCTTGCTCCTGTTTCCCCATTATCCTTCCTCTAGGCTCCCGCTCCAAGTATGTGCAAATTCCGTTGCAAAGCCACATTATTCCTTTTATCCTTGCGAATGGAATTTCGCAACTGCAATAACAACCGAGAGAGAGAGGCGACCACACCAGTGTCCCTTTGCCAACTTCTTTGTTTGTTTGCCGCAAAATGTGTGTTTAGTTCTGGGGACTGGCTTCGACTTCAAGTCGCTCAGGTACGCGCCTAATACTCAGAAAAAATATCAAAAAATAATAGTGCTTGCTCAAAATATTTAATCCTCTGGAAACATTCTCAAACGACTTGTTTCTTTCCATTTTCTCGGAAATCTCTAAAGTTTTAAGACCAATACTTTGAGTGTTCAAAAAATAGATGGTCTGAAATATGTATTTTATACGGCGAATAATTAAACGCCAAGAAGTAATTGGGAAAAGCCTAAACTAAACCGAAACATTGCGGTGCTCCTAAAACTTTTGAATATCCCACAGCATTCATAAATAAATTCAAATTCTTTTTCAGAGTATCTAAGCATCGGTAAGGTGCAGAGAATATTGAACAATAGAAAAATGCCAGAGAAAAGTGAGCAATTTCAGTGTGTTTTTTGCCGTGGACTCACCGCTTCGACTTCCTTGAATACACGTATTAGATTCCTGCCAGCCAACTTGGCAATATCCTCCTCCGACCATTTATCAGACTCGAGCAGGGCAGCAAAAAGATGCGGATATTTGGACACATCCTCCAGTCCTTTGGGCACTCTTAAGTGGAAAGCGGAGAAAGCGGAGAAAACGAAGAAAACGGAGAAAACGTAAAAAGCGAAGAAATCCAAGAATGAGATGACGATAGAGAGAGCATAATTTGCCAAATGAAATGAAACGTAATTGAAGCTGCAGAGTGGGCCAAAAGTTGCCGTACTTACAAGTTGACTCCGTCGTAGCCAGCTCCAATGCCAACATGATCGATGCCGGCCACCTCCCTTATGTGGTTGATATGCGCTGAGGGGTGGACCAAAAAGCACAAGTTTAAAGATTAATAGTGTCCACTCCACCCACCAGAAAAGCCACTGGGCCAAAAACCACCTACCCACAACATCGTGCAATGTTGCCTGTCCCGAGCAGCTGACGAAATGCGGATAAAAGGCCACCATAACCAGACCGCCGTTTATTGCCTGCATTGGATGTGGAATTGGGTATATGGATTAATGTTCCCCCAGATTAATGTCCCCGTAATGGACTCACAATGCGCTGCAGGACATGATCGGGGACGTTGCGGGAACTGTTGCAGATGGCGTGCGCCGAGGAGTGCGAGAATATGAGCGGCGCCCTCGAGGCGGCCAGTGCATCCAGCATCGTGGGCACCGAAACGTGCGACAGATCAACAATCATGCCCAGTCTGTTCATCTCCTTGACCACCAACTGATACGGTGATAAATACGGTTATTGATTAGGGCATTGGAAAGTAGAACTTTAAGTTGCGATTCTCTCACCTTGCCGAACTGCGAGAGGCCGCCTATGTGCGGGTACTTTCCAGGCTCGTCAACTTTGCAGCAGTCCGCCCTGAAAAATAGTAATTTATTGTCAAATATCTGTCAGGCTTCTGTAGACAAAAAATAAAACATAGTAATTTATTTCCCATGGGTATTAATAATTCAGGTAAATATATAAATATTTACAAATTCGCAAATACGATTAGCTTTAAAATTTTTTTTAAGAAATAAAATTTTCAATTTTTTAGCGCAGTTTTAAATTAAACAAATTTTTGAAGCTATATTAGAAATATATAATTTATCTCGCACATTTTGTTTATCAAAATCCTAGTATGTGCGCAATGACAGTATTTATTTTGTATATCACAATCTTACCATGGTGTATTGCAGGTGTGTGTGAGAGTCAGGTATCTGGCGCCCAGCTGGTAGAACATTCGCAGGACACTCAGACTGGTGCCAATTGCGTGACCGCCCTCCACGCCAATAAGGCTGGCAATTTTTCCCGTCCGGTGCGTCTGCTCGATTCCCGACGCAGTCGTGACCAGCGCCATGTGGTGCGGATAGAGCTGGACTAGGCGACGGATCAGATCGATCTGCTCCAGCGTCAGCTGCACTGCATCCAGATGCTGTGACGAGCAGGGGGCGTAGGCGGACCAGAACTGGGCGGAGACCATGCCCTCCTTCAGGCGGCGCAGGTCCGTGTGACTCCAGGCACTCGACGACCAGGGAGCCAACTCCCGCAGGTCTCCGCCGAAGTGAAAGTCCTTCAGCTGGTTCTTGAGGAACTTGCGGATATTCCACGGCAGATCGTTGTGTCCGTCGATGAGGGGCACTTCCTTCAGCACATTCCTTACCCGCTGCATCCGGTAGTCGAAGTCGTCGGCGGTCTTTGATCCACCGCCGCCGGTCGCCGAACCCGCCCCCGCTCCCGTCCCCGCCCCCGCCGCTCCGGCCGAGCATCGCAGGATGGACAGGACGAGCGGAAAGTAGACGAACGTCAGGCAGTTGAGGCCACAAAGCACGAAGCCCTTTGGCAGCTTGCGCGATTTCATTGCCCCCGAGCGGCGCGGAGCTCTAGTGGAAGAGCACACAATCCGCAGCACTCACATTGATGATGTTCCGCCTTCTAGCTGCAAGAAAGTTGAACACAGAATTTATTGTATATTTGCGTATACGATTACGTTTTAGCAAACAATAAATATTGATATACCCCGAAAAATTGTCATAGAAAAAATTATTATAATTACTTTTACTTAAAAAACTGTCAAGACGTTCTATTTTCTTTTATAAATAATATACAAAAATTGTATCAAATTAACTGTTTTATATTGAGTCTCACCAAACAATTAAAAAATAATGAATGTTTAATCCAATTTAACAACATCTTTAAAGCTCAACGCCACTATTAAAGTATTATTATCAAATATCAACTAATCTTAAGTCTACAAGATTGTTTGTTTGATTTTAGGTGGAGTTTTTTCCCCAAGTTTGGTGATCCTATGACAGGGGGAATGGCTTAGCCTATTGCATGTGCGGGTGGCGTGATTGAGCTATTGAAAGTTGTTGGCAAACAAATGTCATAAATATAACGCCCAGGGCTGTGCTACCGCATAACCCCGGCTCCTGAACCCAAACTCAAACCGAGCCCCAAAGCCACGCCTCGATTTGCTTGGCTTTGCCACCCCACAAACATAAATAAAACTTTTCATATTTATTTCAGAGCCCAACTTCAAATCGAAATCGCGCACAAAATGCATAAAATGCACAATAAAAATGCAAAATTATTTATAGCAAAGTTTGCTCTCCGTTTCTTTTTTTTTCTTTTTGGCCGGCATATCACCGAACCCCAAAAAAGAAATCATAGAACATTTAAATAGTTTCCCCTTCTGTACGGTAGAAAAGTTCTGGACGAGAAATACTTTATTCGTACGAATTTATTTTGACTGTTTTTTCTGCTCTTTTTTTATTCGCATACGACATAAAGTTTGGCTTGAGCTTGGGAGGTGGCAAAAAACTAAGCGAGAAAGCCATCAAGAGAAAAAGAAGTTTTAGATATTTCTCCAAGAAATAGAAGCCCTGTTTGTTCTGGCAAAACGGTCCAAATGGGCAAATATTTATATATTCTTTGTCTCAGAAAGTGAAATTAAAGTTTTACCCCGAAGCAGGCAAACTAAGCTAAACTACTGTAATAGTTTGCAACGCATAAGTCGGCCCCGAAGTAGAGCAATGTATTGGCCAAAATGAAATGGTAAGTTGAGCATATGGAAATGCTTGGCCAACTCGGCAACATCCCACAGGTTGGGTCAAAAGTTCCACAAGTTGTTTGTGTGCCAGCAAATGAATTTGGACTAGGAAATTCCAGGCATCCATGCTGAAAATTTAATATTCAAATTTTAGAGAGGCATACTAACAATACTTTTTAGTTATAAGAATTATTCCTAAAATATATATTTCAATTCGTAACTATATTAAAAGACTTTGCAGTCAAATTTATGTTTTTCCAAAAAAAAAATAATATCCATTTAGTTATAAAAAAAATATGTGGACACAAAATTTTGTTGTCAGCAATAAAACCAATATTTGCGGATTATTTTGCATTTATTTATTGTGCATTTAATTTAATTATTCGGCTTATAAACCCAAACATAAATAGAGTTCCATAAAGTCAGTTACTTAAGTCTCCCTAGTTCGTTGTATAAAAGAAACATTTTATTTTTCTTGCGATTGTGTTAACACTTGCATTTACTTGTATTTCTATTTTTCCATTTTTATTTGTCCCCTTATTTTCCATTTTCATGTGCCAACTGTTGGTTGCACTCTGCAGGTCACAAATAAATAAGAGAAGATTTCGGGGCGAGGGGCTAGTGGCTTTCGCATGGTGATTTTCATGCTCTGATGCTTGCGAACAAAATGAAAACATTCCACTGTGGAGAAACAGGGCGATATCTTATCTGCTTCCGACTATGTTACCGCTTCTACTTTTCCTACCATTCCTTCTACTGATTATGGATTCGGTTACCTCGATGTTCGATTTTCTGCTTCAGCATATTTTTTTTGCTGCATGGCATTGTGCTGTTTGGCACAATCCTTAAGATATCTGGCCAAATAGAAATTATGCAAAAATCAACAGAGTCGCCGATGAGCAGGAAATGACAAAATTGACAAGGGCAACGCGCTACGAATATTTTCCGACATGCAAAACGTGACTGAAACGCAACGCACGAATTATTAATACAACAACAGAGAAGAGGAAGTCAAATTAGACCCAGTTGGGTTAACAGGAAGCAAAGGACGACTAAGGACGACAAACAAAAGTCGGGTCTGTGAAATCGAAAACGTTTGGGGCTTCATAAAACATTGATGCCTTAAAACAAGCGTCATGCAAACCGAAATTAAGAGCCACAACATGGGATATTTAATTAAATTGAAGAGCTCTTGCTTTTAGCATAGGCAAAAGTCAATTGAAAGGCAGGTGAAATTAAATGAACAAAAGTTGAAGTAATCCTCGGATCACTTAAAAGTGCATTAAATATTTTACAATCGGAATTGAAAACGAAATTACCAAATATGTTTTAAATAAAGTCCTTGGTATTAATAACATTAAAGAATGTGATTGCAAATTTTTGTTGGCTTGGTGAATCTAACAATCAATAACTTAGTGTTTATCCTATATCTAACAATCGTAAATTACGTATTTTAGTAACTTTTTGTATTTATAAAGTTTTGTATCAATATTATATGATCAATATTATGCTCACTCTATTGTTAACAAATTACACTGTTATTTTGGATACAGTTCGCCCTTATTGATGAATATAAAATATGACTGGTCGGTTAATAAATTGTATTCCTTGCTGTTTAAAAGTGAGCGGCACACAATTGCAATCCGAGGACAAAATTGGAGAAAGGATAACTGCGTGCATCGCTGCGTATGAGCAATGTGAGTGCGCCTGCCTTTATTTCATTTATGCATTTTTTTGTTGAGTGGCATGCACGGGTGTAGGGATATGCCGTAACGAACGGCAGGGGTTCGGGAGTAATAGCGTATAAGAGAGCAGGGTACATACTGAATCGTACATTTATTGCAACATGAAACATCATTTTGTATGCCCTCAAAAAGAAAATAGCGAACCAAAAAGGAAGCGGGACGAAAAAGAAGTACGGAAAAGTAAGAAAAACAGAGGGGGTGGTTATGAAGAAACCGGAGTGCGCGCGTAGGAAAATTGCAGTAGGGAAATGCGATGTCCTCGTTGCCGTTGGAATTTCCATGCAAAGTGGCAGGCAAATAAATATAAAAAAGCTTTTCTTTTCGACATTAGTGTACCATTTAAGGAAGTTGCCACGCCCCCCGTTCGCCCACAGATATTGCTCGGCGAGTTTGTCGTCTTTCATTTCTATTTTGCCCCACAACTCCAGCAGAAGTAGCTGCAAAAAATAAAGGAAACGTGCCGTAAGCTACAGCAGACAATCAAAATGCATTCATGTCCGCTTACTTTACGTTATTTATAATCAAACCCCCCCAAGTCCCTTTCATTCAGCTCTAAATTCCATTCACTAGCGAATTGTAGCAAACAGTCAATGCGAATAGCACCCACCACCCCGTGCAGAAATTCTCCGTCTTGCGAGGGCTGGGACTTGTAAGCTGGAATGGAATGCCTCCGACCGTTGGGAATAGGTTTCCCCACCATAATGCTCAAGTTGCTCGAGGCCCTGCTGGAATTTCCTCAGCCTGATGCTTATTCAATTTTACAAGGATAATAAGCGGTATGATTAAGATGGGAGGGGTAAGCCAAATGATTTGCCAAAATCTTAGCGTTCCAAAATTCAGAGAACGGAAAACATCAATAACCCACATGCACAACATCAGATTATTTTATTTTTATCTTTTTAAGGAAAAAGTAATAAAAGCTTCATGGAATCTGGTTTGAAGTTCTCAATGGAATACATTATTGTTTCATTTCAGATAATATATATATTTACATTTAAACAAATGTAAAGTTAAGAAAATGAGATTGAAATAGAATTCAAATATTTAAGTTATAATGTTCAGCTTTTTTTATATCTTTGCAAAGGGTTTTATAATTTTAGTCAAAAGTCTCTTTACTTTTGACTTTCTACCAAATAAAGTTTATATATTTTTTAGCAGCATGAAGGTCATCATTTCTGAAAATGGGATGACAATAACATATAGCTACCACAGGATAAATCAATGCATCAGAAAATCGTCATAGTTTTATTGGTTTTAAAAATGTACGCATAAAAACCGTATATATTTGAATTTTTACAGAATTTGAAAAGGTTTACTAACTTCGGCTTGCCAAAGTTTGAAATATTATTTTATTTCATAACAGTTTAACACTCTCAAAGACCACCCTTGGCACACATATTTCCATAAATTGATAGAATGAAAGCTTAGGGGCTGAATGGGTCTCATATGGAAAAATAAAACAAAATTAAAAATACAAAAAGGAAGAAAATCAAACTTTAATAACGATTTTCTATGTGTGCATTGGTGTATTTTGCCTCCCTACCGTTTTCACTCCTTCTGGCTAGTCCGCAAACAAGCGAAACTGAACACAAAAATTCTATGGGATTTTTTCTGGGACCGGAAAAGCGGCAACAACAAACGAAGGAACAACAGCAACGACCGCACAAATTCCAGTGGAATGACAACCGGCCCAGAGGCATGCGAAATGGCCTTAGAATGAATTGAAATTATTTTACAACATTTTCATGTTTCTTGCCATTTGTTTGATTTGCCTCGACCTTCGCTTTCGCTATCAGGCCATCCTTTCATTCTTTTTATTTCTTCTCTTTTTGTATGCATAATTTATGCTCGAGTTGAGGCCAATTGCAGGCGTAATAATTAAATGAAGACCCGAAAAAATGTTTTGACCCAAAATAAATCGACATATGTTGTGGCCAGCCAAAAAAATTCCAACAGATGCCCAAATAAAGAGCAGTAACCAGAAAAATAAAGAAAGATCACTTAACAGAAAAAAAATAAATTTAAGAAATAAATATTCGTAGAGTGAAGTGGAAATTACACAAGCTTTAATTCACATATTGTTTTTAATTAATAATTTTAAAATATTATTAAATTTTATAATATATATAACACTCATTTAAGTACCGCTCAGTTATATAAAATCGTAGGAAATAAATCAGATAAATTCAAAAAATAAAAATAAAATGTTGTATGAAGCAGTAAACCTTTAAAATGTTTGGACCCTGTATGTGCTCCTAAAACGTTTGCTGTTTTTTTCTGGGTAGGAAGTTCTTAAATAGCGGAATAGCTTTCCAAATCGAAACTGACTAAGCCTTGCCAAATTATTTTCTCCATTTCTGTCACTTTGGAGAATACCTGCTTCAAGCCGCACAATTCAAACTGCCAGAGACCGTAAACACTTTGTCGAGACTAAAAATGAGACGAAGAAAAAGGTAACAAGCATTTATAAATGCCACAACAAAAGCTAGAGAAATGTGAGCCGGAGTCAATTTTGGTTTTAAGGATAGCTTGGGGGAGAGGGCGTGGCCAATGGGAAGGAGCGGATAAAGTTCAAAGCAAATTGTTGCGGAAGGCAGGAATCAACATTATCATCAGCAGCCAGGATGCTGCTCAGTGGGTTATAGGATACTCATTCTCATTCTCATTTTGGGCAAATGCAGATGAGGACGAGACAAAACACAGACACAAATCTTGGGAGGAGGAGTATGGAGGAGTGTGTGTATTTCGTGGGCGGGTGGTGGCCAGAGGGTGTGTTTTGTGTCGCCTGCCGCATATTAATGAGCCAAATGCCACAAAGCCAAGCTAAACGCGCTCTCATCAATTGCTCAATATTATGGCTGCGGCGGGTAGAAATCTGCATATGAAACCCATATTCGTATGTACACAGAATATTCAGCAAAACTCGGGCCAACTATTTTGCATTCTTTGTTGCACACATTTTTATGTGTTTTTGGGAGCATTTTATTTAAGAAAACATTGCTGGTCCAGAAAATTTCTGTAAAGCGAAGGCAAGAATAAATTGTCATTCCGCTGCTCTTATTGTTCTTAGTTCTTCCAGTTGCTTATATTGCGAATAAACCAACATTTTGTGGAGCAAACATGGCTTTACTAGACTTACACATTTGGATAACTTACTTACTTTTATGGATAACAAATGTTAATGTTGTATTAAAAACAATATCTTACTTATATTATTCCCATATACCTTGAGTTTCTTACCAAAACTGGGTGAACTATTTAACATTCTTGTGGGCTCTAATTCTCTCTCTTCTCTGCTTAACTATTTAAATATTTGAGTATGAGTAAAATCACTTCCGGTGCTTGAAATCCTGGCTCTGAAGCACTCCACTCTCGTCTCACATAACTATAATCATATATTATTTCGCTTTGGCTGAAACACAATACGTAACGTAACGTATACGCCGCGGTGTACGCGGGTGTGCGAAGGAAACGCGCAGCGCAAGTGGAACGCAACACGTGTGAGGCGACAGGTGCCGAGCGTTTGGCACACAACTCGACCGGCCGACGCACGAATTCGAACTGAAAGCTGAACCAGAATCCCCAAACGAAACTGGGAAGCGAGTGAGGCAGGCACGAAATCCGAAAAAGGACGAAGGACGAAGCTACGAGGCGCAGAGAGCACTCAGGATGCCGCATTAGGTAAGAGCAGTTGTTTCATTTTAATTTAATGTATTTCCCCTTTTTCTTTTCCCCCGTAACTTAAATAAACTTCAATTTATATTTAAATTCTTTGTTATTCATTTGTGGGGAAATTGTGTATTTCACTCATATTTTTGGTTCAGAAAACTATCCCAAGTGCTCACTAAACTACAAGCAAGTTCTTACAACAATTTTCTCTTTCACTCAAGAACTGTGTGTGTCGAAATATTGGGATATTTTCTCACAGTATGCTCTCCCAATCAGCTGTTTCAAGTGCCAGGGGGTTGAGTCCTTTAACATTGCAGGAGGTCAGGCATGGCGTGAAAGTCGCTTATCCTAGCTGCTGCTTCTGCCACCCTTCGTTTTTGTTGCGCTGGTTTTGGGGCGCCTGATGCTGATGGTCACGAAAATTCAATGACCGCTCCAAAGAAAGCAGGTCGCTAGTAATTAGGAAAAAAACAAACCAAATAATTAATTCTTCCCTATTTTGAAATATTTTATACTTTAAGAAAATGTGAGACAGAAACTTTAATGACTGACATCTTATAATAAAACCTTTGTTAAGCTTATGTTTTCATTTTTCCAAACAAGCTTGCAGAGTCTTTAAAACAATACTTCTACATTTTTTTTTATGAAAGCCTAAACAATAAAATTTGTTCTAATCTTGATCATTCCGGTCAACAATAATGTTTCTTGACTAAATTCAAATATGCTTCATTGTATGCTTGCCATAAATCTTTTTTATCATATGGCTTTCACTTCATATTAAATGCACAATCACAATATTTAGAAATTCGATGGCCCTGGCAGTTATAAGTCTTCTTTTGTAAACAATACTAACATAGATATATGAAAATAAACAAATAAAGGAATCACACTCCTTGAACTTGGAGTACCCATAAACCTTCAATGAAATCGTTTTAAATTTAAGCCGCCCAGTGAAAAGCTAAAGCAGTGCAAAGCTATCTGCCAAGTTTTAGCCAACTTTAGCATCCCACTTGTAGGTGCTTTCACCCACTAAAAGCTCCACGTGGGAGCTTTTTTTTGACCTCACAGTCTTGGGGTTTTTGGGAATTTTAAGCGCTTGGCTCAGTCGGTTGCCCAACACCGGCGGCGACGACCTCTAAACAACCTTTTGGTGTCTCGCTAGCCATGTCTCGCTTATTTCGCTTTGGAATTTCACGTTGACGTCGCAGTCGTCGTCATCGGTAGCAGCGGCAGAGGCAGCAGCAGAGGCGTGGCAGCAGCAGCGCCGGCAGAGCCAGAAGTCAGAAAATAAAAGCGTTTACCGCTCTCCTCCAGTGCAGCAGCAGCAGCAGACCCAGCCAGTAGCCAGCAGCTAATCACCACATCCCAGATTCAGTTTCCAGTTCGGTGAGTGGGCGTGATAAAGTGATAAATAGAACCCCCTACAAAACTCAGATATTTAATTATATATCCAGAAAAGACCCGAAATTCCCGTCGTACCCAGCAGTGCAATTCGAAAAGTCGCGTATTCGTTCCCATTTTTCTCGGCTGTTTCGTAATCCAAATTTACAGAATATTGCAGAATCTGTAAGCGTGTTAGTGAGTGAGTGCGTTATGTAGCTTTAAATATTTCTAACCATTTCCTCGTGTTCAATATTTTTATGACAAGTTTTAAAACCTTGAGTGGCCCAAGTGTTGTTGACCTATGCACTGTGGTAAAAAGAGAGTGGGGGGAACTGCAGGCGATAAGAAACCTTATCGGGTGACTTTATCTCTCGAAAGTAGTTTTTCTCTACCGGCGCAACCGGCTCTCTGGTTTTTTTTGTATCCCCCAAGTGGCTCTCCAATTGAGTTCATTTTCTTATTGGCAAAGATTCAACTGCAATTTGTAGTTGCCGTTGCGGTTTTTCTTTATAAATAGTTGGCGCAAATGTTAAATGTATGTACTACACATCGGGAAATACATATGTACATACATATTTGTATCTTTCACACACACTTTCGTTTAGATTTCAATTAGCCAACGTCATCAAAAAATTCCTCCGTTTGTGGACGTCTTATTCCTTTATTCTGCTCTACTTTATCCGTCTTCATTCATTGCACTTTACATTTACCTTTCGGTGAATAAATGAGAGACGTGATAAAATTCGGAATAATCCTAGAGATTACTCATAGCAAGTAAAAGAGAGGGACAAGTTTAGGGGTTGTTTTTGTTGGTATACGAAAACTAGTTTTGGAGGGGCAGGGACTTTTTTCCAAGGTCAACAGCAGACACCTGTTTACCATAATCAAAAAGATTATTTTTTTTAAAAGAAATTTAAATAAATTGTACCCTAAAATCCTAATCCATAGTTGAAGCTATAATCGGATAATTATTTCCAAGGTATAGATAAGAACTTGTATTTATACCCAACTTGTAAATAACTACTAATGCAGAGTTATTGGGGTCACTTAAGAAGGGCAAGTCGATATAAACAGAGAAGTACGTGTGCTCTCCAAAGTTCCCTAACTCCAAAATTGGTTTATATATACAGTCAAACTTCCAAACTTCCGTAGTGTTGGAGACTTTGAGCTAAATTTATTTATGCTCTCATTGCCTATACAATTCGGTCGACTTATAAAGACTTCGAGTTCGAGTTACGGAAGTTCCACTGTGTTGTTATTTCTTATTTTGACTATTAATTGCTTTACGTCAGTTCGTAGTTATTACATCAGTAGTAGTATTATCTCTACTGAAAGATGTTCTTTTGACCCACTGTCTATGCACGAGGAGGCCGGACCTAAAATCTCGTTATGATAATGGCAAACCTTTGGAACCACAAGTGGGGGCTCGTTTTTTCGTTTTCGATTTAAAATTTCCACTGATAGCAGATACAAAATTGCGGCCACATAATGAACTTGTTTGTTCATCTTTCCGGAGCAACTTCTACAATATTCCATGCCAGTTTTTGTCTCTCTATGTTTTTGTTGGTCGTTTTATCAGCTTGTTTTTTACTAGCACACACATAGAGACAGACATGTGTCGGTTTTATTTTTATACTCGGTCTCTTGATAGCAACGTAAATTTATTTTGATTGTTTTTTGTTGTCATGCGTTGCCTGTTGTGCTTTTTGTTCCTCTTTCTTTTTTGTTCATCGTATATATTTGGCTTAGTTTTCGAAACTTTTTAGTCTTCGATTGATTGCCGGCAAGTGTAGGTGGATGATTTACTGCTGAGTAAGCCGGTAGCTAAAGCTACCTCACTCATAAGATAAAAAAAAATCAAGTGATTTAGTGCCGTGTTTAAAAAAGCTTTAAAATTCGAAAAAAATTGTATTTTCAATAATAAAATCTGTGCTAACATAATTGAAAATATTCAATATATTATTTCGACTTTTTTTTTGTAATATGATATCATTTTAGTTGCAAAAAGTGTTACTCCTAAATTATCAAAAAACATTTTTAAATTATTTGTATATAATATCTAATACTTTATAATATAAAGTAATAATTTATTTATAAAACCTTTGTGTGTATAAAAAGTGTATATTCAAAGTGTTATAAATTTAGCGTGGGAAATATAGCTGTTGTAGTAAACATTCGTTGTGATAAGTTGAGGTGGTCTAATCTATAGTTTGACATTTATGCCTTTGCAGTCCTTGGCTCATTGTCAATGTCATACAAGTACAAACTGAGCTATTAGTCAACGCAAAATATTTCGCATCTGTATCTACATATTGCTGGATAGCCTCTGCCTCATTCACACATTATTGAGCCCTCCTTGTTACTCCTCACACGCGCCACACGACTTTCGGGTTTCAACCATTTCTATTCGCATTTCGTAAGCAACAAATTTCGCTGGCAACATTTGTTGCCAAGACCCAAAGCAACATTGTTGCCTGACCTTGTTCAATGTCAAGCTGAAATTCATGCGCCGTGCGGTGATGTCTCAGCCGGTAGAGACGTCGGCAGAGGCAGCGCAGTAGCATCGGCAATAAAAGTGAAAGTCTTCCACGTCATCTATTATGCGGGTGTGAAAGGGAGAGGGAGATATGAGAGAGAGAGAGAGAGAGAGAGCGAGGGAAGACTCCATGACTTTGATTACATCAGAGGGAATTATTTCCTCAGTTTTCCGTGACTTTGCTCAGTTACTAAAAATTCATCGTCGAGGTTTGTTCGCTTTTTACTGTGTGCTCAAAAGGTTTAATCAGCATTTCGGTTTTTGCAAATAGTTGTTAGAAATAAAAAGGCCTTTTAATAAGTTGTCATTTACAATTCTTAACTACAAATAGTGCAGTGTACATAGTTTTCTCTGCAATATTTGGGATTTACCAAACAAAATGAGCAATGTTCACTTCTAGTTGTGAAAAGTTTTATAAAAAGTTAATAGATAACAGGCGAATTTGTGTGTGTACGCTTGATGTTGAGAGAGAAAGACGGAGAGCAAAAGTGGTAGAGAGAGAATGTTAGATACAGAGAAATCTAAGGGAAAGCACGTTCTCCGTGCATGCGCTTTTAATCTCGTTCAACTACTCGCTCTTTGCTATGAAATCAGCTGTGAAAAACACTGACATGCCCAGAATTTATTATTTTCAATGGAAAAATAATTTATAAATTAGGTAGAACGTCATTAACATTGATCTGACACTGAAAATATGATGATATAATATTTCGCTGTTATGAATAAAATACTTGTAAAGAATACAGCTGAAACAAAAACATAATTAATATATAATATTTTTGTGTAAGCTCGAGCTCTTTAATCGGTCTATAAACTTATATTTAATTAATTAAAAATAACTAATTTCCTTTTTTTACTTTTGATCCTGTTAAATTACAATTTGTATAGATACAAAATAGGATATACAGTGCCGAACTTAAGTGATGGCACAGTTGCAAATGTGAACTTCAAATGTTATTCCCAGGCGTATTCAGCATTTTTATGATACAGTTTTTTTTGATATATTTAAATTAAACATTTGTTTATTCAAAGGCACATTTGATTTGATATTTTTTTGTAACGTACTTAAAACTACTTAAACAAAAAAGGAACTTATTTCGTGAAACAAAAGTCTTGGCACACTTCACCAAAAATCGTTTTTTTCCCGTTTTGTATATCTTATTTTTTCTTTAACCAATAAAAGCTTAAAAATATAAAAAAGTGTGTCAATGGCAATAACTAATCCACCCTTTGATTGATAGGTGTCCCAGGGGCAAACTCTATCTAGACTTCTGTACAAATTATTCCTTTGAGTTATTAGTCTAGGCTCGTTACACTGTCCAGATCAAATTTTTAGAGATTGACCAAATTTTTGGTTTTTTTTCCCCTTTTCCCCTTAACGGCTTCAAAATTCTTCGTTTAAACCACGGCTTTTTGTTTTGGAACTCGTTTCCGAATCCGCTATGCAAATTATTAACAAACAATCTCCGCTCTTCTTATTTCTCCACCAAATATACACCACCTGCTCATCCGCATCAATTTCCCTTGGCGATTGGTCTAAATCCGTTTGGAAAATGGATTCCGGTTATGCAGAACTACACTCGAATCTCAAAAATGACCACCTACTTCAACTACCCCAGCAAGGAGCTGCAGGATGAGCTGAGGGGCATTGCCCAGAGGATCGTGGCGCCCGGCAAGGGAATCCTCGCCGCCGACGAGTCTGGCCCAACCATGGGCAAGCGTCTGCAGGACATCGGCGTGGAGAACACCGAGGATAACCGCCGTGCGTACCGTCAGCTGTTGTTCACCACCGACCCCAAGCTGGCCGAGAACATCTCCGGCGTGATCCTGTTCCACGAGACCCTCTACCAGAAGGCCGACGATGGCACCCCCTTCGCCGACATCCTAAAGAAGAAGGGCATCATTCTGGGCATCAAGGTCGACAAGGGTGTCGTGCCACTGTTCGGCTCCGAGGATGAGGTCACCACCCAGGGTCTGGACGATCTGGCCGCCCGTTGCGCCCAGTACAAGAAGGACGGCTGCGACTTCGCCAAGTGGCGTTGCGTCCTGAAGATCGGCAAGAACACCCCATCCTACCAGTCCATCCTGGAGAACGCCAATGTCCTGGCCCGCTACGCCTCCATCTGCCAGTCGCAGCGCATCGTCCCCATTGTGGAGCCTGAGGTGCTGCCCGATGGCGACCACGATCTGGACCGCGCCCAGAAGGTCACCGAGACCGTCCTGGCCGCCGTCTACAAGGCCCTGAGCGACCACCACGTCTACCTGGAGGGCACTCTGCTGAAGCCCAACATGGTCACCGCCGGTCAGTCGGCCAAGAAGAACACCCCCGAGGAGATCGGCCTGGCCACCGTGCAGGCTCTGCGCCGCACCGTGCCCGCCGCCGTCACCGGTGAGTCCTGATCATGGTTTGATGAAAGATGGGTGTCATAATCTCTTGAGATCAGTGGGCTTGGCGATCTCAAATCAAATATTCATTTTTCAAGACAATGTAACAATGTAATGCAACATAGCTTAAAAAAAATTAACAATACCAACAACATTCAATCTTTACCATTACGAAATGGTATTAAAGAGTTTAAGTAAACTATGGCAGCAAATTTGCTATTAGCCTGGTAAGGAATACGTATTTAAAAATTGAACAACAAGATAAAAGATCCTTAAGGCATAACTTATTTTAATATGCAAATATTAAAATCAAATCTATTTAAGACGTTTTTGACACATACTGATCGCTTTAAATATTTTATAAAGAATAAGAGAAATATAACTAGACCATAAAAGATTATTTTGACACCTTGATTTTACACCTCCCTTAAATTGGAATTGGTTTTCCAACATATCCTTCAATACGAATCATATCTAATCGATTTCTTTGTGCAGGCGTGACCTTCCTGTCTGGAGGTCAGTCCGAGGAGGAGGCCACCGTCAACCTGAGCGCCATCAACAACGTTCCCCTGGGCCGCCCATGGGCCCTGACCTTCTCCTACGGCCGCGCCCTACAGGCTTCCGTCCTGCGCGCCTGGGGCGGCAAGAAGGAGAACATCGCCGCCGGCCAGAACGAGCTGCTCAAGCGCGCCAAGGTGAGTGTTCGGATAGTTTCTTCTATATTAGATTGTAAATAGTTTAGTCTTAAGTGGTGTGCGCACTGAAAGTGTCGGGTTTCTGCTTCGGAAGAATGTATTGCCAGGGCTTATCGGTTTACTGAACAAACTGCAATCCCAACCATCTATTCCATTACCAATATTTAATCCCCAAATGTCCTTCCTTTCAAATTGGTTCCCAATCGTCCATCATTATTAAAGCATAATCTACTCGACATTCTTTTCAATTGAATTTAAATGCTAATCTTTTTACGATTTTCAATTATTTATCGTGCTCTTATTTATATCATAACTTAACAAAACTAATCAATAAAAACTTCATTGAAACCGGCAATTTCATTAAATAACTGTTTACCAAAGCACTTTTTAACACACAATTTAACTCATCACTATTAATCTTTTGTACATTCACTTATCATAATCCAGTACATATAGTACATTATCAATTAATTAACTAATTTCAAATGCTTAGGCTAATGGTGAGGCGGCTTGTGGTAATTATGAAGCTGGATCTGTTAAAGGTTCTGCTGGAAAAGATACATTGCATGTGGATGATCACAAGTACTGAGCAAGAAGAACCTATAAACGGTGTTTAAAAATGGCGTAGACCGAGCTTAAATGGGGTAAACTCAAGCCGACTTATCGCTTAAGCCTTTTACATATGCTCTCATTATCCTCATGCTTCGCTTGCTCTAAACCTAATCCTCAAAGCCCAAAATTTGATTAATCCCAAACACAATCCCGCTCTCCTTCCCGCATCCACAGGCCAATGCCCAGGCCTGCCAGGGTAAATATGTGGCCGGCTCTATCCCGTCGTATGCGGCCAATGCCAGCCTCTTTGTCGCCCAGCACAAATACTAAGACCTAATAGCCACGCACTAATCACGAGTCAGAATCGAGCGCTGCTATTCCCCAAACCGAAGCAAAATGCAGCCGTTAACGCAAAACATACTGACCAAGGCCCAAGCTGGACTGAGACTGGCGGCATTTACATTCCTCCAACCAAGGAACTGCAAATTTATTCCATTTAGCCTTTCCTATACCGTTTACCACATCAACTGACTAGATTTTAATTAAGATATTTGGAACTTACAATTTTATATGTTAAACTGGCAATCAGAAATAAATTATATGTTCTGTTTTTATACCTTATTTGTGATCCTTTTTTGAGTTTTATATTTTAACCTTAGTTTATTACGCTCAGTATTACTGAGTATTAGTATTATTTGAACTTAATACTTTAGATAAGCAGAGTATTAAATATTTTTGAAATGGTTCTTTGTTATTAAGAGTACTTATATATTCTAATTTTAGTTATATTTTTATCAACTAAGTTGATTTTTCCAAATTGTATAATCAAATTAGCAATTTAATTACTTTGAATGTTTAGCCTAACTTTAATATAGGAAAACTTTCTGAAAGGTCCTCGCAAACTTGCGAATGTTTATGAGTAAAAGTTGAATTTTATAATTTATGTAGCCGACAGCTTAGCTTAAATTATATAGAAAACATATAACGCCCACTGGAATTGTAGTCAACTTTTGACCAGCCCTTCTCCCGATTTCCGGCTCAAAATTATACTTATATGTAATCGAATCTACAAAGAACCTGCTAAATTAAAAATTCCGAAACTTTTTTGCGCTGTACGTAACATGTAATGGTGCGCTTGGATGGGTAAAAAGTTTAAATAAAATTGCCGCAGGTGGCTGGGAAAAGTTTTTTCTTGTTCAGCAAAAATCAGTGTGAAAACTTTTTCAGCTGGCCGAATAACTTTTTTGCTGCGGCTCGCCAAGTTATAACTAAGTAATAATTAAGACCAAGTGCTTGTAATTAAGAGTAGGAATTTTCCTGGACTCTTTGCCGAATGAAATTAACCACATTTCCCGCTTTTCCATTCCCAATCTGCAGGCCAACGGTGATGCCGCTCAGGGCAAGTACGTTGCCGGAAGCGCTGGAGCCGGATCCGGATCCCTGTTCGTTGCCAACCACGCCTACTAAGGCCTTTCGACGGACTTTGTCAACACGCAACTACATAAAACTAACCACGAAGCAGATTGCTGGAAACGTTTGGCAGATTTGTTTATTTTTATCTTAGTTTCGAGAGCTAAGCAAAGCAAGCATTAAAAAAAACAAAAAAAAAAAGAAGGATTACAATTTCAAAAAATGTTATATATATATGTAGTATGACACATTTCTGCAAATTAATTATACGATAAAAAATATGTTAGAAAAGAACTTTATGATGAGTACAGAAAATGGAAGGATTATGTTCGATGGAGAAGCAATTTTATCTTTAGTTTTAAGCCCATGAACCTATTATTGTTGAAGTTATACAATTTATATTTTATTATTACTCTTATTATTATGAAAGATTTCAATGTGAACAAGCTAAATATGTCGTAAATCGTTAAGTTAAAGCACATTTTATAGTGGATACAACATCAACCGCTATTAGCAACATCAAAATGTCAAAGTCTTTAAACATTGAAATCGCACAACGTTTTATGAAATTTTTTTAATGTTTTATAAAAAGGTCCTCTATGAAAATCGATGTTTTACCATTATTATTATAATTAAACTTTATATTTATGATTAATAAGTATAAGTGAAACAAATGACGCAAATAAACAAACACAATACAATAAATCCCGAAAAAGCCCCAAAACAATTCAATTAACCATATATACATATATATACACTGTTGAAAAACAATAAGTTGTTAAAAAAAAAACTAAAAAAAATATATTTTGCGTAGGACTTTCGTGTCCTTTGGCGCCAAGCTGTGCAGGGGCACAGTACTTGTTACTCGATTTTCTCGATTCCATCTTTGACCTGCTATCCGATTGTGATAGGTAACAATGGCAGCAACGTGACTATCACAGTACATATTTACTTACTGAAATATTGTACCAATGATTAACACACATATTTAACAAAGCATGTTTTTAATTATATGTTATTCAAGTTGCAAATTCTGCATATCGTTGTTAATCATATATTTGATTGAAGTGCAATGTGAAAACATAAACATAACAGACACAAACGAAGGATATATAATACAAACCGGAAGGATTAAGTTTAAACTAGTTTATTGTCAACTTAATATGAAAAGTCACCACCAGAAACAGCAACAACAACCAGCTGTTCAACCAATATACAAGAAATAAAAACCAACAACAAAAACTAACATCAGCTTAAAGTAAGGTGTTGAAATACCACCTTCAAATAAAAACCTCAAGAGCAAAACAAGACAAATGGGTTTTATTTATATCGGCCTGTTCTGAAAAACCTTTGCATACGCCCAGGCGTAAGCTACAGTTGGAAAAGCACTGAGGTATTTGTTAAAGCCTTGATGGCTAAAATAAAATGCTAGAATTTAAATTATTAAATATATGTTATATTACATATAATATAATAGTTGATTAGGTGAATAAATAAAAAAAATAATTTTTATTTACTCAATACCCCAAAAGCATGCTCCTTTAAATGCTAAATTTATAGTCATATTCATATATATATTTTGTTCCTTTTTTTAAATATTTAAGGTTATGATATTTTTTGATGTGACTAACATCTTACAAATTCATTATTTTACTCTTGAGTTTAATATTTAATAATTGTTATCTTTTTACGATTTGAAAATGGCATACAGATTTTCTTCGGAATCATGTATATCATTTGATCAGAATCTATTGTTACCTTACCGAAAGTCAAGGACCCTTCTTCTTAAATTTTAAGCCGAATCTGTTCCCGCCACAATCAAAATCCTACCTTCAAGCTCGCCTCGTAATTTCAATTTACAATTTCCTTCATTGCAAATGCAAATGTAAACACGGCGTGCAACAAGCGACGTAATCTGCACTGTGATCCCTTTCCAATGAGTTTTCATTATTCGCGGAGTGCAAAGTTCGAATAATCGCACCCAAATCAAATGCGCAAAGACCCAGACAGAAAGATTCGTCGATGAGATGAAATAGCGGAGTTTTCAGCATGGTTGGCGGGAATATAAATACGCAGGCAAAAAACATAAACTAAAAACGTTAATTTCACATTCTAAAAAATTATTTACAGCGCAAATTATTATTTTCTTTAAGTTATTTTCTTAAGTTATGGAAAATAGTTCAAAAATAATTATTTTAAATAATTTACAAAAACAGTTTTTATACAACTACCATTTTTTTTACATATTGTCAAACATAATTGTACCCTACGAAATGTTAAACGTGTTCAGAAACATATTTTAAAAACCATTTTGTTTATAACTTACTTTAAACCCTTTTATATTTTTCAGTGTAAAATTGATTGTTTAATTATGGTCAATTTATTTACAATTGTTTTTGGGAAAAGATTGAAACGTCTGATTTATGGCATTGGGATGAACAAATTGTTTACGCCATTGCGTCATTGGTTGTCTTCGAATAAAGCCCATAAGGAAATTTCGCAATATTCGAAACATTGTGAGGGCAAATGCTCTGAAACTGTGACGGAAATGTGCCCCCTTGTTGGGGTGTTTACCCCACCGGTCGGGAGAAGTAACAAAAGGTGCTGGCATTTGGCATCCTGATCCACAAAGCCCGTGGCATTGTCAACATTTCCTATGCTACAGTCGCCCCCACCACCGTGCTGACACAAAGATTGTCCACAAAAGTGGAATTAATTGTATTTGCATAGTATGTAAACATCATCACGTTGCCGGCAGGATCTCGTACAGCAACGTTTATAAACTAGGTTCACCCTTCCGACACCTAACCCCAATCATACACTAAGGGAAACTGGGATTTGGGAAATCAATTTAAATTTTCTCTTTTATGTTTATATATTTTCAAAGGATTCATAGCTTTTTTGGTATCAGAATACCAGGCATTTCTTTAAATTGTTAAAAAGGAGTATTGTTTTCATATATTTATTTGACAATAATTCGACTAAAGTATAATAAAACATAGTAATGACATAAACATTTTAATTGACTTAAATAAATGTATTAATCCTCGGAACATAGTATTTTAATTTTGAAATATGGAAATTGGTTTAAGACATTTATAATATGTTTAAGTTCACTTTATGGCTATTAAAACATATATATAGCTATATGTTGTAGAGTTCTCTTTATAAACTGGTTTTCACCATTCTTTTCTGTGCATTAAACATTCATTGTATCCTCAGGCTTCCTGCGGTGCAATTGTGATTTCACTTGCCCTGGCACGTTGCTGATTACGCTCAAAGAAGGACCGAGTCCTGCGTCCTGCGTCCTGAGTTCTCAGGACGGGGAATGGAGAATTGAGACGACAATGGCGACGACATAAATATCAACGGCACGTCATGTGGCGCCGAGAAGAAAGTGGATGTGGATGTCGATGCTGGCAAGTCGTCGCGCAAAACGTGTTCGGCCGGAAATTGACACGCCGTGGGATGTGGACCATCCAGGTCCGGGAGAGGTGAGAGTATTCCAGGACTGCGAAATGCAGTTGATTGAGTTTTGCATAATTTAAGCCACGCTCCATCAATTACATGCCTGGCCCGAAAGCCGAATCGATTGGCACTCATTTCGCACATGTCCTGAGACATCCGCAGCCACCCTTTCCTTCCCTCGAGGGGCAGTGGATGGACAACTGTAATTGCAGATTTCTCCACCTCAGCATTGGTGAGTGTGCGTCGGCCGTTTCTAATTAGCTGCAAACATCACTCGGGGGCCCAATAACGAGACCGAATGCGTGACACCAACGCCAACGCAGCAAAAATAGCTCAAAACGAGCTCTGGATCCACTGGGCAGTCCATCCACCATCAGACGAAAACCTCAAAGGCACTGGGTTCCACGCCGGGCTACTCCCAAATGCATTACGCTGGTCGCACGGTGGATCATGATCAATTAAGATAGGAGCTTTATCAACCTGATTTATGTTAAGTTATTCACTAAAATAAATGAAGAGACTAAATTACAAAAAAAGAAAAATAAAATAACGAGTCCTGCAAAAAGGACTTAATTCCATGCGGCCATATTATCCTAAATATACATATGTTATATGGCCATGTTTAGACCTTTATTCCTTAAATTAATGATTTTTTCCAAAAACTAAATTTTGTTTTCCAAATGAAATAAATAAATCAACTACTGCAAGTTACAATTTGTTGTACTTAAACAAATTTTTAAAGACGATGATTTGGTTGAAAATAAAACAGTATAAATTTACAGCAAAATTACAAAAATAGTTAAAAAAAATCAACTAATTTTTATTGTTATGATGCCAAAAGCATACAAGGCTTAGAAAGACATAATAGCTGATGTAGTTAAATGGGTAGTTGCAAAAATATTTCCAAATCTCGTTTCGGTTACCATTTCCACCACCTCTTTCTAGTGCCGCATTAAACCACTGTATAGTAGACCACATGGCTGAATGGTCAGTACAAAGTCCTGTCATTTCTGTATTCCTCACTTTTTGGCCGTGTTCGTGTGCATTTTGGGCCATGTGCGTTGTCGTCGTCGTCGCCGTCGTCATGGCGGCCAATGTGAAGGCCAATCGATCCGTTAGCGCCGCCCTGCCGTTGTCCACTGCCCACTTCTCACTTTCCGCCCTTTCAGCCCCTTCATCCAGCAGCTCGGCTTGGCAATTTATGTTCATTGAGTTGATGTTGATTTGTGCGCCGCGGCATGATTTTTTAATGGAATGTAATTTATAGTTGGAAGGGAAGAGGGACGGGACGGGCGAAGTTCGCTGGGAATCGCAAGCCGGCAGACGGGCGTGCACTCGATTGCATTTTGGCCGAATGCACTGGCCGTGTGCCAAATGAGACGGCAAAAACGGCACAAATTGCTTGGCTGTAGCCTCCCCTTTTCTCCGTTTTTCAACTTGGGCCCACTCGCTGTCTGGCGGTACGAAAGTATTACAAACTCGAATGGCATGTCAGAGTGCAGTTTATGTAGTGACTCTACAACTGATCAAATTTAAATTCTACATGGTATTATCCAACAAAATAATTTATACTTTAATACGACAAAATAAAATCAAATTTGTGAGTCTTTTAAAAATATTGTAAACTAGAAGTAACTCTGAAGGAAATATTTTCACGAAAGTGAATGTTTAGTGTAATTAAGTTTACCCTTAATTAAAGATAATGACAATTGATTGCAATTTAAAAATAGATAATAAGCAGAATTAACCAATTTTAGGGGCCACTGAGTTCAAAATAACATAATTGTTTAGTTATTTAAAAATGTATGCAAAATGTAGGTTTTCCTTTCGGACCGGAAATTGATTTTAGGCGAAACCAACTCACTTTCTCCTCTGCTTCAGCATGAATATGTAACTGAAATCGGAACTCTTAATTAATGGCAATATTGTTCTGTGCACTCTTTATGGAGTTAAACACGGTGCTGACATGACATGACAATGAAGCAATCACAACAATTTTGACAATTCCATTTATCTTATTCGCACGAATTCGTTGCCATAATCGAGAGCACAAATAAATCGGCAGATGGAGATCACAGTACTGGGAATATTACGCGATGCACGTGCACGATACGTACACAGAAAAATTTTTTTTTTATAAGCCTCTGCACATTTTGTTTTATACATTAATTTACCTAACATTATTTTCATTAAACAATAAACTATTTAAAATAAATATTTTTTAAATATGACTAGATAGTTTAAATTATGTAGCAATTGTTATATTTTGTATTGTATTATTTTTCCAAGAGAATTTCTGCGATGCATTTTTACTGTGCACTGATACGAAAATGGCGCCGCAAAGAAGCCGCCAGCTGCTGTTGAAATCGAATTAAAACTGAGCAACTCAGTGGGATGCGGAGATTCGGGTGAACGAACGAGATGTTCAGAGTTTCATTGCCTCCTACTTTCACTCCCATGGCATCACAGAACTTTCCCAACGCCTTGACATTAAGATATTCTCCCAGCAGCCTTTCACTCACGTGCAATTAAAATGCCTTTGAAATGCAATCTGCGACGCGTTGCGTTGATTTCAGACCGACATCGCGTGAGTTCAGCTGTGAGCTTACATAATGTTGTAGTCACTGGAAACTATCAGACGACTCAGACGGCAGGGAAGTGCAAGTAATTATATGTGCAAATATTTTCTAATGAGCAAGTGCTATGAGTACCATTTAATTCAAATAGGCGGGCCGCAGAGTAAACGTTTTGCTGCCGCGAATGTGTAATGAGAGGGAACTTATTATACTTTTTATTCTTTGTCTCCCTTCTCTCTGCACACTGGTGGAAAATGGAACATG